CAGTGGCACATGTCATTCTCAAATCATCAAAACCTATGAAGTGTACAACACCAAGAGATGTACAAATTATGGAAATGTAAATTACGATGTCAGTTTGTATCAACATTGACTCATAGCTTGCCCTCTCCTCCCCCGCAAAAAAAGTTAAAAAATGAGCTGGGTGCTAGTAGGTCACACCTATATACATACACAAGAGGCAGAGATCAGGAAGATTGAGGTTGGAAGCCAACCCCAGGAGAATAGTTCCAGAGACCCTATCTTGAAAAAAACCCATCATAAAAAAGGGCTGGTGGAGTGGCTCAAGTGGTAAGAGCATCTGTCTAGCAAGCATGAGGCCCTGAGTTCAAATTCCTGTGCTGCCAAAAAAAAAAAAAGAAGTAAAAAACGAAACAAAGTTAGTTTGCTGCTTTTACACTTTTTTTTTTTTTTTTTTTTTTGGGAGACAGGTCTATGCTTTTTTCCCAGGCTGATCTTGAAGTTCTGAGTTCAAGCACTCCTCCCATCTCAGCCTCTGGAGTAGCTGGACTGTAGGCACATACTACCCCAGTTTGTTACACTTTTGTTAATATTCTTAACAATAAGCAACAACCACCTTGAATATTGGTAGGTGGTGCACATTTAAGAGTATTTTGTGGGGTCTGGTGGAGTGACATAAATGGTAGAGCCCCTGCCCAGCAAGTACGAAGCTCTGAGCTTAAATTTAAACCCCAGTACTGCCAAAAAAAAAAAAATTCTTTTCCCATTTGAGACCATGATTTGTACTATCCTTTGGCTTAACTTTTCCCGTTCTAGTTTCCCTTTCTCCCCTACCCGTTTCCTTCATCTCCTCTTGCTATGTAGTCCAGGTTGGTTTAGAATTTGTGATCCTCCTACCTCAGCCTCCCAAGTGCTGGGATTGCAGGGTATGTGCCACCATGCTTGGCCATATACACAAATTTTGACAGAAGTATGAATTATTATTACAAGGTGTTCCTTAGCTACTATTGCAAAACTGTATTAATTTCCAGCTACTCCTGGACCCACCATTGGAACAGCAAGGATTTGGCCAGTTTATTAATTTATCTCTTCTTCTTCTGGTACTGGGGTTTGAACTTGTTAGGGAGGTGCTTTACCACTTGAGCCATGCCCCAATCCAATTTCTCGCTTTTCTTATCTAAGTGCATCTCTACTCCCCTCAAATACCCCCTATACAACCCATAGACCCTGTGGCATTTGGACACAATGACCTCATGTTTCTAGGACATGGATTTTGAGAGGTCAGAGTGCTTCTCTGAGCCTAATCGTGTTATTTCCACAGCTGACATTTAGAGTCACAGGCTGTACCAAACTAGTGCCTAGCACTGGGTTCTGATTTATAGAGGAAGAATTTTTTGGTATGCTTGTGATTTGTTGAGAACTACTGGAAGGGATGAGGGTGGAAGTGACAAAGATGAAAGCAAACCTTTGGTGAATGTGCCTTTTTTTTTGGCGGTACTGGGGTTTGAACCCAGGGCCTCATGCTTGCTACAGACTGGTGTTCTACCACTTGAGATACTCCACCAGCCCATGTGCCTTTTTATGTAGTTTTGACTTGGGGACTGTGTACATGATTTGCAAGGATGGCACCACTAGCCATCCAGTTTTCTCAGAAATCAGTTATCAATCCCTGGGTCTCCCACTGGTGAGCGTGACCTTCCTCCTCAGAATCATTGGTCATTGCCCACAGCTGGCTTCCTGGATCAAAGGCTGAGCTCATTACAGGTACTGTTGGGTAAGTCTCAAAGCACTCAAAGCATAAGTCCTTTCCCCAAGGTAATGGAAATTCCTGCCAAGTCCAAGGTGGCCTTTACATGCCTCCTGGTGTGGAAACTGGCTGCTTAATTGCACACAGAGCTGGCAAGACTCGTTTCCTCAGTTTGATTTTGGACACATGAAGTGTGAAACACCAGTTGTCACCCAAGGACGGATGAGGGGGCTCACACAACTTCCCAGTTTCCATGCAAAATCACAGGTCCTTGAGATTCACAAACATTGAAAAGCATTTCAAGGTGTCTCCTGACAAGGAGTCTCACAAGGAGAAAGTTTTAGTAAGGATTTATTTTAGTATAACAGGATAAAGTATAGACAAGGGAGGGAGGTGGAGAGAGAAATATTTCCTGTCCTCATGCAGGAGATGGGAACAAAGACTCAAAATGGCAGCCCCCATCTCATCTCCTGCTCTTATACTGGAGAGCTGAGGGAACACACATGGTCAAAGATAATGGGTCTGGGTAGCTGAGATGGCCCACCCAAATCAAAGAGACAATAGGTAGAACTTCCCTTTCATTATTCTCTACCCATCCAAGGATCCTTATAGCTTGTTAACATCAAGCAGAAGCAGGTAGCTCCTCTTTGTCTCCCAGTTTCTGTAACTTAGCGTCTAAAAGGAGGTGGCCAGCTGCTCTGGCTCTCCAGGCTTTACTTTCTTGTTCCAATGTCAGAGTCTGCCCCTTTAAATATTGATTAAAATAATATAATTTCCCTGTCCCTCATCTACCTATCCCACCTCACGGTGAGATATCTAGGAGCTGGGTGTCCAGGAAGCAGCTAGATCCTGAATGTTGCAAAAGAGATCCAAGCTGAAGATACAGAGCCAGAAACCATCCTGTGCAGAACCAAGGTTTGCTGCCAGGTGGCCGGGGAACCCTGTAGGTAGGTTGATGAAGAACATGTTTCCTGGCTTGTGGAGTGGCTCAAATGGTAAGAGCACCTGTCTTAGCAAGCATGAGGCCCTGAGTTCAAACCTTAGTAAAAACCAAAAAAAAAAAAAAAAAAAAAAAGAGCATGTTCCCTGGGCAAGTAAGATCCCTCAAGAAGAGAGGGTAGAGGTGCTGGGTAGGCATGCTCCCCAAGATCTGACATTGGAGAGCAATGCACAGTGCATCAACAAAAGCTACATGAGCAACAGAAACCACAGTGGTGCAGGGAGTCAAACGGATCTGCATTATTCTCCTTTTTTAGAGAGAGTAACATTTTGTGCTGAGAGCTTGTATTGACTGGGGAGTAGAAATACACTATTTTAGCTGGGCATTGTTGGCTCACACCTGTAATCCTAGCTATTTGGGAGCTGAGATTTAGAGGATCAAGGTTCAAGGCCAGCTGGGCCAATAGTTCTCTAAATCCTCATCTCCAAAATAACCAGAACGAGATGGGCTGGAGGTGTGGCTCAAGTGGTAGAGTGCCTGCTTTGCAAGTGTAAAACCCAGAGTTCAAACTCCAATCCCACCAAAAAACCCCACTCTTTTGTAAAATCAAGTATCAAAAACTGGGACCTTGGAGACTGATGGCTAGAGAAAGAAAGGGGACATCTCAAGAGAAAGGGCCAGAATTGGTGCCTAGTAGCAGTGAGAAGGAGGGTGGAGAGAAGCCAGTGGGGTTTTAGAGACTGCAGTCCTTACTCTGTACTGAAGTGTGACCCCTATTGTCCCCAATGTTTCAGTAAAGATTTACTGCATACCTCAGCTTTTTTTTTTTTTTTTTGGTGGTTTTGTTATGGGCAATCGTTCTCAGAAGATCTTGGTCCTTGTGCTCCAAATGGAAGAATCCAAGCAGAACACATGGATGGGTGAGATAGAATAGCTTTCTTGAGGGAAGGGAAGAAGGGCTGGGGTCTCTGGGTAGGTCCTTATTATACCACCTTGAACTTGAAGGTGGGGAGACACCTGGCTCCTCTCACCTGTAGGCTAGAGGAGGATCCCTTGAGCCAAGAAGGGGAGCAGTCTCAGACTATCCTAACCTATCCTGTCTCAGTTCTGGGTTTGAACTCAGGGCTTCACACTTGAAAAGTGCTCTACCACTCTACCACTTGAGCCACGCCCCCAGGCCGGTATCTTAGCTTGGCGTCAGTCATGCTTTTGGGGAATGAAGGACTCAGGCAGTGTTCAGGATGGGGTGAGGGAGGACAGACTGTTTCAGGAGTGCAGGCCAGAGTGGAGATGGTGAGTTCAATACAAATAGGAAATTAAAGCAAAGGTGGCCAGGAGAAGGATAAGTCACCTTGGAGTTAGTAGAAAATACCAGGACTCTCAATATATTGAGGTAGGGTCTCAAATATATCTTGAATATGAGCCGGGCGCTGGTGGCTCACGCCTGTAATCCTAGCTACTCAGGAGGCAGAGATCAGGAGAATCTTGAAGCCAGCGGGGGCAAATAGTTCACGAGATTCCCATGTCAAAAATACCCAACACAAAAAAGGGCTGGCGGAGTGGCTCAAATAAGAGCGCCTGCCTAGCAAGAGTGAAACCTCAGTGCTGCAAAGAGCATGTATTTGAGCATTAAAGAAAAGGGCCACTTCTCGAAAAACCTGGAGCTGCCCACCAGGACAGATACTCAAATGCAGAGTTCAAGCAAATAACCAAGGTAGGAAGCTGAGCTGAAAAGTCTGAGGCTCCTTTTCTCAATGACGAAGAGGTGATCTCCCCAGGATGCCGGAAAAATCTGCTGAGGAAAGTCTGGAATAGCAGTTTGAGAAAGTCACGTAGCAAAGTTCCCCTTGGGAACTGCTTAGAGCAAATTTTAGCCATATCGACGTCCAACACTTTTAGGGGGCGGGACTAGGAGGGCGTAGTCTGGCACTGTATGCCCACGGACCAATCACCACCTCAAAGGGGCGGGAATTTCCGTAGTGCCCACCCCTTTCTTTGGAAAGTAATCTAGTTGGGCGCCTTTCAAAGGAGCCAATGAGCGCTCGACGTTCCAGCGGTTGGCTCTTACCGATTGGCTGGACGTTATGGTCCCTCTCACTTCGTCTCCTGTTGCCCCACCCCTTCGCGCACAAGATGGCGGCGCCCAGCGGAGTAGAGGCCCGCGCTTAGGGTTTGCTGAGGCTAACTCCCTCTCCCAGTTACCTTTTGGGCGCCAAGCGCCGCGAACGGGAGGACGGGGGCCGGGCGGGGACAGGGGCACCTGCGTAGCTGGACCGCGACCCCGCGCCCAGCGTGCGCCGCCCCCACCCGGCCCCGGCCCCGGCCCCGGCCCCGGCCCCGGCCCGGCCTGATCCTATCCTCTCTGTTCCCGGTTTCCTCCTGGTCCGACCCATTGCCCGGCCGTGGTACGCCGCACCAGACTTCCAAAGCTGAGGTCTCTCCTCCAGCCCGGGATCGCCTTCACTTTAGAGATGTTTGGCATCTTCTCTCTCAAGCAGCCCGCCTTCAAAACCGGGACTCTTGGAGTGGCACCTCGCCCTCTCTCCCTCTAAGATTTCCCTTTCCTCTAGCCCGTAGCTTCTTCTTTTGGAGAACCAAGATTGCACACTTCCCTTCCAAATTAATCCCCCAAACTCTCACATCCTTGACAGCACCCTCTCTGAAGAGACAGCCTTGCTTTCGGACTGAGCTCCATAGCCCTATCATGGAGGCTGTGTACCTGGTAGTGAATGGGGTGGGCCTGGTGCTGGACGTGCTGACCTTGGTGTTGGATCTCAACTTCCTGCTGGTGTCCTCCCTCCTGGCTTCCCTGGCCTGGCTCCTGGCCTTCATCTACAACCTGCCACACACGGTACTGACTAGTCTTTTGCACTTGGGCCGAGTCGTCCTGCTTTCACTGCTGGCCGTGATTGAAGCCTTGGTCCGGTTCACCTATGGAGGCTTGCAGGCCTTGTGTACCCTGCTCTATAGCTGCTGTTCTGGCCTGGAGAGCCTAAAGCTCCTGGGGCACCTGGCCTCTCATGGGGCGCTGCGGAGTCGGGAGCTACTGCACCGAGGTGTCCTCAATGTGGTCTCCAATAGCCATGCTTTGCTGCGCCAGGCCTGTGACATCTGTGCCATTGCCATGAGCCTGGTGGCCTATGTGATCAACAGCCTAGTCAACATCTGCCTCATTGGCACACAGAACCTCTTCTCCCTGGTGCTGGCCTTGTGGGATGCAGTGATGGGGCCTCTGTGGAGGATGACAGATGTGGTGGCCGCTTTCCTAGCCCACATTTCCAGCAGTGCTGTGGCTATGACCATCCTCCTTTGGACCCCCTGCCAACTAGCACTGGAATTGCTGGCTTCAGCTGTTCGGCTCCTGACTAGCTTTATGCTTGTCAATCTCACTGGCTTGGTGTTATTAGCTTGTGTGCTGGCAGTGACTGTGACTGTGTTGCATCCGGACCTCATCTTGAGGCTGGCCACTCAAGCCTTCAGTCAGCTTCATGCCCGGCCATCCTACCATCGACTCCGAGAGGATGTTGTGCGGCTCTCTCGCTTAGCACTGGGTTTGGAGGCCTGGCACCGAATCTGGAGCCGTAGCCTACAGTTGGCAACCTGGCCGAACCGGGGAGGGGCACCTGGGGCCCCCCAGGGCATTCCTAGAAGAGTGTTTTCAGTCAGGACCCAGGGGCAGGACACACTTCTGGAAACAGTGCCCAGAGCAGGGGCAGAAGAAGAGGAGATCGGGACCATCAGAACAACACCTGCCCGGGGCCGGGAGAGACTCAATGAGGAGGACCCGACAGCTGGGCAAGACCCATGGAAGTTGCTGAAGGAGCAAGAGGAGCGGAAGAAGTGCGTCATCTGCCAAGACCAGAGCAAGACCGTGCTGCTCCTGCCCTGTCGGCACCTGTGCCTGTGCCAGGCCTGCACTGAAATCCTCATGCGCCACCCTGTCTACCACCGCAACTGTCCACTCTGCCGCCGCGGTATCCTGCAAACCCTCAATGTCTACCTCTAAAGACTCCCTGCCTGCCTGCCCACCCTCCACGCTCCACGCAGACTGCGCTAGGATGGCATTAACAGCTAACCTCTGGGTTCTGGCCTCAATTCCCTCTGCCCCCTTGGCTGCCCTGCCAAAGTGTCAAGCCATACGTCCACAGAGATGGGATACCCTGCAAGACTTCAATCTGGTTGGGGCAGGGTAACATAGCTTCTCTGAATCTGGTGGGTCCTTTGATGCTGAGGGTGGTGAGTATGTCACTATGCAAGGGCCCTAAGACTGTTCGCAGTGCTGTCTTCCAGCCTGCCCAGGGCCCACCCATATGCCAGCCGCTGGGGCTCTCCCTGTCTGCTTCCAGTTTGTTGGGGTTTTGTAGGCCCTTTTCCTGCCTCCTTCTCACTTTCTCCCTAGCTTCTGCAGCCACAACACATCATTGTCATTCGGGTGTTTTGACAACTCGAGGGCCTTGGGATGGTACTGAACCTTTGTGTTCAGCCAGAGCCACTGTGCCCTGGTAGGTTTGGGAGTAGAATCTCTCAGGTGCTCTTAGAGCCACTTCTGCCTGTCATGATCTTATGAGACTCCCTTCCAACCCCATCCAAAAGCTGGGATCAGGAGTGTACTCCTATACTATGGGTGTGTGTGTGTGTGTGTGTGTGTGTGTGTGTGTGTGTGTGTGTGTGTGTGTGTGTGTGTAGTGTATACCTGGCTTTGGGACCATATACCCTCAGGCATCCCAGCTCCACGAGGAGCCTTAGGAGGGTAACCAGATTTCTACTCGTTCCCTCTCACTCCCCACATGACATAAAAAATGGTGTTCCTCTTTGTCCCTGGCATTGGGGAGGGCAGACTGCACATTTCACTAGGGTCCAAACAGAAGGGGTCACGGCCTGGGGCCTGCAGCTCTCTGAGAGGTCTATCTGCCTGGTTACCGATGAATAAAAGTTCTGTTGACAGCTCTGACAGTACCTGTGTGCATCCCTGCAAAGGTAAACAGTTGGTAAAGGTGACAGATACTGTAGCAGGGTCTTTCAGACCTGCTGGAGTCAGAAGTGTGGTCTCTGGGGGACTGGGCTTTGAACTGGGGGTTGGGAAGAGAGGCTATAGGGTGGCAGGGTTGTGCCAAAGGGAAAACCCATTCTGGCTCATTGCTCACCCTTTCTGATTTGTGCTGTCACACACATGGCTTTGGAAAAGCCTCCCCTGTGTCTCATTGCCAGAATTAAGTCCTCTTGGAGCCGATGTGAACTTCTTACCCCTTGAGTCAGCCTTCCTAGCTTTACTTCTGGTGTCATTCTTCTCAGGAGTGGACTTGGGGGCCTGCTGCCTGGAGTCTGTCTTTGACTCCTAAAGGAGTTGGTGCTTGTCTTTGTGTCTCTTGGCATAGAGCCTGGCACTGTGATTGGCTGGAGTGTGGCTGCGGAGAGCAGGGAGTTGGAGCCCGCAAGGCCTGTCTCTAGTGCACATGGCACCAGTCCCCATTGATCATAACTGCCTTCACATGACCAGCAGGAGAGGGGAGGCACTCCCCCATAATTGTATGTTACATCTAGGAACTTAATGCCTGCTGTTCTGGAAAGGGGAGGATATGGGAGGGCCCGGAAGAAACCAAAGAGAGGCCCCTAGATTCTTGGTTGAGAGGCAGAGCAGACTGGGACTGGCAAGCCCTCGTTTGGTAATCTTTAGGTTGGGGCATGGAGCCTGGGTTGGAGTCTGAAGGTCACAGGGGGTGAGCCCCCGAGGGGCTTTGTGGCCCGCCTGAGACTTAGCAGTTTGGCCCACCCAGGGTGTGCCTAGCACAGTGGAGAAGTTTCCCCACCTCCACCTCAGAGTTGGGAGGCCTGAGGCAGGGCTGGGCTCTTTCTCTTCCCTTCCCCCTGCCCTGGAGAAGCAGCTGAGGCAAAGGAGGCTTGGCTCCTTCCAGTCTCTGTTTAATGTGAGGATAAACATTTTATGAAGGAAGATAAACTTTCTGAGCTGGGAGCAAAGGACCCCCTTTTCATCCACCCCTATCTGGAATGCTTTTGGCAGACTGTAATAGGGTTCCTCCCCCTGATCACCCCAGAAGATAAATGCTTCAACTATGTAAATTACAGCTGCATTCTGGAGCTCGTGCGCCCCCTTGTGTTCATCTCAGAAACTACTTAGGCCAACCAGGGACCCTTCATTTACCAGGCACAGGTGATAGAGCACTAGCTTTCCTGTCATCTAGGGACCAGGCAAGCAGCCAGACAAGCCATAATGAAAATCCCAGGTTCTTTTTTGTTGGATCAGGACAGTGGTATGTGTGGTTTGGATCTTTTTTAGAAAAAGGCACCCCTTTCTCTGGTACCCTTACAGCAGGAAGCCCCCACCCCCAAATCAGACACTGTTGTTCATAACCTATACAACTAGGTGGCAGGTCTGTGGAGCAGTGTTGCATTCCCATGGGTGGGCCTGCTTCCTGTATCTCCTGCCCCATGGCTCCATCCCACCCAAGAACCCCCCTTCTGCCTGTTTCTCCCTGCTGTGATCCTCAGAAGCAACCCCACCACTAAAGAAAAGCTGAAGCCAGGAGGAGGAGGTTTTTCTTTTCTTATTTTGTTTTTAGGTTTATTGAGTGACCTCTGAGAAAAGGGAAAAGGGCTAACTCTGGGAGCAGGAGGGATGGAGGAGGACCCAGAGGCAGAGGGGCCAGGAAGAGAGCACCCCATTTTGGAGTTCTGGGCCAGAGCACCCTGGAGACCTACATTTGCCAGCACAGCACACTCTTTTGGTCCTGGGCAGAAATCCAGTTACTGCTTCATGCTGCCTGCCCTGATCTCTGGACAGCCTCTGTCTCCATTCTTTGCTGGCAGCAGGGCGTGGGAATCCACTCCACTTCCCTAGTCATCCACAATATTCCAGGGGGGCCCGCCCTCCTGGATGTGTGGCTGTCAGTGTCACACCCTCTAGGAGTGAGCTGGAATTCACTTTCCAGTGAGCACTAAGCGAAAACTGGGGAACTGTGCCAGTCGGAATAGACTAGGAATCCGGAGAAGGTGCTGTCTGTCTTGATGCTGGCATAGATGCCGATGTAATCACCCACACCCACCTGCACCCACACCTGGTCCTCGGGCTCCAGTCTCACCATGGCGCCTCCTGATAGCGAGGCTGGCTTGGGCCACCCCCCAAAAAACTGAAAGAAAGAGGCGATGGACTCGCCATTTTTGACCAGATCGAACTGCAGGCTGGCTCGGTAGACGGTGGCATGGACGGCAAAGTAGTAGACTCCTGGCACCTGGCAGGTGAACTTGCCGGTGGTGGCGTCGTAATGTCCCTGCTCGTTCAACAGCACTCGGTCAAACGGTAGGGGCGCATCAGCCGGCGGAGGCACTCGGCTCTCCGAGCGCTTGGCGCTGAAGGCGGAGCGCGGGGGCACCGAGCACTCCCCAGCAGGCCCGGTCGCCCCCACAGGTCCCGCCTCTCCTCGCGGCCCGGGCTCCCCACGCGGCCCTGGCAGTCCTGCAGGGGAAGGGGAGAGGTTAGGGTGAATGTACAGGCCGGGTCAGCCCACACTGGGGTACAGAAGGGTGACTGCAAACAAGGACCTCTGCTCCCGTCCTCTCTAAGCTTCCCCTGCTGTCACTTTTTCGGCTAGTGCCTCCCTCCGCCGGTTTCTCCTTTCCGTTTTCTTTGGGGCTTGGGGCAGATCTGAAGGGGTGGGCAAAGAGGGTCCCGGGAGTTCTGGCTGCCACCGGCTGAATCACCCTCTCCACCCTCCACCCCACCCGGCCAGCACGGACTGGAAGGGCGGGGAGCAGTGCCCCCTGGCGGGAGCCCAGCATCCTGCAGAACCGGAGGCCACCGGAGAGCCGCAGCAGTGACCCGACCCCTTAGGATGTCCCCATGGACGGCAACGGAGGTGCCTTCTTACCCGGCCTCCCGCCCTCGCCTTTCTCGCCCGGAGCCCCGGGCGCGCCATCTCGGCCATCGCGGCCATCGCGGCCAGGAAGGCCCTGGCTGCCATGGTGGCCCGGCGTGCCTGGAAGGCCCGGGTGTCCCGGACACAGGCTGGGGATCTTGTTGTCATCCAGCGGGGGCGAGCCGGACGCCAAGCCCAAGAGCAGCAGGGCGAGGAGCGACTTCATGGTGCTGGCACCGGGAGCCCGAATGCTGGAGTCCTCTCGTAGTCTGTGGGCCGGGCAGGACTGGAGTCGGGACCCCGAATCCCAGGACTCACTTTGTTCCCCACCCCAGCGCAGCCCAGCCGGTCCCCACCCCGCTGCCATGCCCCTGAGGTTGAGCGGCCAAGCGAACGGATGAAGAAGGAAATTTCCAAATCCCGAGGGAAAGGAGAGGCAGGCCCTCCCGTCTTCTCTCCCCAGCGGGCGCCCAAGCTTTCCCACAGTCCCCTCCCCATCCCATCCCCCTCTTCTGCCAGACTCACGCCCTCCCGGCTCCCTCCCGCTGCTCGCTCTCTTGGTGGCCTCCTTTGGGGGGGCCTGCTACTCCGAACCCTTCATCTGGCCCCGTTCGCATCCCTGAGTTTCTCCCCGGCCAGGCGCCCCCTGTCCTCGCTGCCATCCCCCAGATCCTGGTTCTCTCCCCTCCAGCTCCGCTCTGCTGCTCCCAGACTCCGAGAGGAAACCAGTTGTTCAGGGCCAAAAGCTCCGGGGCCGGGGAAATGACTCGTGGTGTCGCCGGCTGCAGGCCAAAGTTTGGGGGAGAAGGGAGGGGGAGAGACTTAGGCCAAACAGTGTAGACAGGCGATCAGGATCAGGGCTCCTCCTGCTCCCGGGAGAGGGAGGGAGAGATGGTGCATGACAGAGACCAAGGACAAGACTTAGAGAGCCTGGACCTGCAGAGACCCAGAGGGAAGTGTTTCAGAGGCAGAGTGCCAGCTGGAGCCCAGGCGGAGCAGGGCCTGCCACATCAGAAGGCACTCAGTATAGTTTTGTTGACTAAGTGACCCGAAGGGCAGGTGAGAGAGAATTTCAAAAAGGCAGATGGGAAGGGGAAGGCAGAAGACAGGAAATCCGGGTCAGAGACTTGGATGGCAAGCAGTCTAAATTGTCCAGTGGCACAGCATGCAGCCAGGGCAGCTGCCTGAAATCAAATACAGGGCCAGGAGGGATCAGGGAAGATGCTGTGTGGGTGTGTGGGTGTGTGGGTGTGATGGTCGTGGTGGTGGTGGGGTCCCACTAGCTCTGGATTGAGTCCTGGGAGGCCCCACAGAGGATGGGCGGGGTCCTATGCCAAAGCCCCCTCTTCCTCTGTTTTCTGCCTGCGCAGCCATGTAGGCAAAGGAGAATGGGTGGAGGGTCGGGGAGTGGGGTCTTCAGGGTCAGGGCTGGGCACAAGCTTCCAGGCCAGCTGCCTCAGGCAGCCTGTTGCAGTTGAAGGGCCAGGGGGTGCCCAGTAGTGCCAAGTCAGACTGGCACTGGCGCTCAGCCTCCCGGCAGACAGAGCGGCAGAGTGGAAGGATGCTGCCTAGTGGGGTACAGCGGGGCACAAGCAGCCCACAAAGGAGTCTCCGGAAATTCTGGTAGCAAGGAAGACTTGTCAGACTCTGTGGGAAGAAGAGATTCAGTCTCAGGTATCTGTTCCCAGGTCCCTCTCCTTCTGTGGGCTCCCTCCTTGCCCGTATCAGCACCTTGTAACCTCTAAGGACATCAATGACCTCCTCCTGGGTGGACATGGCCACCCAGATGTTAGGGAAGGCAGTAGTGTTGTAGCTCAGCCCAAGGCACATCTCCACCTGGACAGGTTCACAGGCCAGCTCTGCAGGAGACAAGTCATGTCATCACTCTGGGTCCTGTCTATGTAGGTCAGATGGGCTTGTCGTGAGGTGTGAGAGTGCTTTACACACCCAGGAGCCCTGCTCCCCCTCAGAGCCTGCTCCAAGAACTTGCCAGCTCTGGGCATCAGGTAGGTACCGCTTTGCTCCCAGGGAATGTGGGGCAGCTGCATGGCAGGGGCCACTTGGGCATCTGGGAGAAACCCCCTGCTCTGTGCAAAAATCTCACCTTCATTTTGAGGTAGGCTGTGGAGAGGGACTGTGTGTGTGACAAGGTGGCTAATTGAAGCCCCATGTCCCTTTGGGGTGGCATTAAGTACCAAGCCCCCACCAGTGGAGTGTCCCCCAGGACAGACTTTGTGAAGTGGCCTGAGTCAGACCCAGCCCATCTATACCCTCCAGTCAGAACGTGTGTTGGGAAGTGCACCCTGCTTAGGGTGCCAGGGGCAGGCTCCTCACCTGGATGTGGGAACAAAGGGGTGTTGCAATTGTCATCACCGTCACGTGAGCAGTCTCTCCATAAGTCACACACCCACTGCAGATCTCTACAGCCTCCATCCTCACAGAATTCTCTGTGTCCACAGGGGTCTGTAGACACAGGGGTGTGGCAGTATCCCAGGACACATCTATACCCACTGTGCTCCAGGAGCCCTGACCAGGTGCAGAGCTAGTCTCAGTTCTCTGGCGTCCCCTCAAGTGCCCACAGCCGCTCGTCCAGGGCACCTACTCTGTGTAGTATTGAAGGCCTGGTAGGTGGCTGAGAAGCCCCGGCTGCTGATGCCATGGTCTGTCCTAAAGAGCACAGCCAGTTGGTGGTGCAAGGAGACCAGGTGGGGTGGTGGCTCTGCTCCACAGAACCTGCTCATGGAGTAGAGAGCAGTCCTGGACATGGGCTCTGAGCAGGACTTTGGGCCAGGCTGGGGCTGAAGGGAGGCAGTGGCTGACCCGCAGAACTTAGGGTCTGGTGAGGAGGACACATATTCAGTAGACGGAATATTAAAGGGCTCAAGCTTGAGCCACTTGAATGGGAAGAGTCAGGGAGGGTTCATGGGAGGGGCCCCTCAGGGTGGGAAGGATGGGGGTGGGGAGAGGTTTGTCAAAGGGCCTCCTGGGAAGGGGATTCTACAGGAGTGAAGGCTTTGAGGTGAGAAAGCACAGGCCATTTTGGGTTGAACTTGAAGAGACCTCGGGCTTGGAGTAACACAAGACAGTGACGCTGGGAAGTCAGTTGGGGCCGTGTACAGGGAGCCTGGTGTGTCAGATTGGAGGACAGGCTGGCCAGGAATCCTCCCCCACTCTGTACCTGCCCAGGAGGCTGGGGGCTCCTGAGCTGTGGGCCTCATACACCTCCACATAGTCAAATTTGCACTCGTCCTGCCCTTCCAGGCTGAAGTTGTGGAACTGCAGTTTTATGCCGTGTCCCATGGGCACTGAGATATGCCAGGTGCAAAGCTGGAGAAGGGCACAGATGGAGAAATTCACAGGGGCCTTCTCTCACCCCCATCTGGGCACTGAGGCTGAGCTCCAGAAGAGGCTCCTTTCCCCTGGGGCAGGCTGGGAAGGGAGTGGCAGCTGCTTGCCAGCCTCGCTTTCATCACCAGCAGCTTTTTTGTGTGTGTGTGTGTGGTTACTGGGGTTTGAACTCAAGGTGGGCCTTCACCTTAAGCCACTCTACCAGCCCTTTTGTTGTGATGGGTTTTTTTTCAAGGTAGGGTCTCACGAACTATTTGCCTGAGCTGACTTTGAACCATGATCCTCCTGATCTCTGCCTCCTAAATAGCTAGAATTGTAGGCTTGAGCCACTGGCGCCTGGGTACCAGCAGCTCTTAAGATAGGAAGGGCTTTTTAACTTGCTTGGTTTCAGAGATGGATGAGTTTACCCAGCATGGATATATGTGGGTATGCCATAGGTGCTTAATAATGTTCCCTTCCAGGCTGCTTGATCTGTCACATTTCCAAGTACAAGACTGTGTACCGTGCTGTTCCCAGTCACACTAACCCTGGTGGCTCTGATGTCTCCGTGTGTGCTAGATCACTTCCCACTAGGCACTGCACTTACCTGTTGGTGAGGGTACTGCTGTGGATAGTTGGGAGTAGAGAAAGTGCCCTGGAGCCCAGTCAGATTCCCCCCACACCCTGTGGAGAGGCAGAAGGGCTGATGAGGGGCAAGAATCTGCTCTTCCCCCAACAGGGAGAAGTGACTGCAGAGGAAAGATTTTGGGCACGCCCATGGGCAAACAAGTCCCAACTAGAAGAATGACCAGGAGGGGAATGCAACTGGGAACACTGAGGTTTGGGCTGGCTCACAGCTAGGGAGCCCCGCCTGAACCAGGGTCAGCACCTAAGACAGCGCACGCTGGGTCCCATACCTGAGAGCTTGGCACTGCAGTTGCTCTCATCACTGCCGTCAGCACAGTTGGCAAAGCCATCGCACACTGAGTCAGGTAGCAGGCAGAGGAGCTGGTCACAGCGGAACTCATTGTGGGCACAGCCCCCTGGGGACGGCCACCTGGAGTCAGAAACCCCCAGAGTCTCTTCTCCTTTTGGCTGTGCTGGGAGTGGCTGGAGGGGAGGGAAGTACACAGGCAGCTGGGAAGTCACTCACCTTGCCCAGGGGTCACAGCCTGGTACCAGGCCTGGAAACCAGAGCCTTCCACACTGCTGTCAGAGACGAAGGCCACACGGAGGTGGCTGGTGTTGGTGTTGAGTGTGGGGGGAGGCACCCTTCCACACACCCTGAAAGAAGCCAGGTTGGGGGCGATGGATGCTCTGAACTCAGGGATGGCCAGCGTAGAGCTTGCCTGGGCCCTGCGGCCCTGTTTCCTCAACCCCTGGACTGGTGGTGATGTGGTCAAGAAAACTCTTTTAATTTCCCAGGGAGCTCGGATCTTCTTGGCCCCTGCACATTCATCCCTACACATTAAGGCTCCATTATACAGATTAGGAAACTGGGTCAGAGAGGGTAGTGACCTTTCCTAAGGCCTCACAGCAGGGTGGTGGCAGAGTTGGGTTCCAATGGTCAAGCCTTTCAATTCCTTCCTCATCTAGACTTTCTGTTGTAGCTTCCTGCTTCTATCCTTCAGACAGGGTGGGACCCCTGGGGGAAGATGACCCACCTGAGGAGGGGGCCTTCAGGTTCTGGGGAGATTTCCAAGCGATCAAAAAGACAGGAGGCCACCCCCTCCATGCTGAGGGCTTCGATCTTGAGCTGTATTGTGTGGTCTGTGGCCACCTGGATATGCCACACGCAGTGGATGTTGGGTGGGTAAGGGTCTGGGTAGTTGGGAGTGCTGAAGAAGCCGCTTAGGCCAGAAAGGAGGCCTCCGCAGGCTGCAGGATGGAGGTTAGAGTTCAGAGATTAAAAGGAGAGAAGTCCTTTTGTCCTCCAAGGTGCCTCTTTCTGGCTTCTCCTCCCCACTGCCATTTTGGGCCTTTTCCAGAACTGCCCTCAGTACTTACTGGCCTGGTGTGTAGGGCTCAAGCCTGATTCCTGCTGCCCTGTAGTTGCCAGGGATGTAGTGGTGGTGATGGTAGTAGGGGTAGTGGTGGTGGTGGAGTGGCCTTGAGTGGGCAGTGGGCTCTCAGTGGCCCTGGATAGGGCTGCAACCTGAAACTCTGGAGCAGAGATGGCATTGCTGAATCCCTGGGGGCCAACAGAGTGGCTCGCAAATTCTTTCTCCAAGTAGGCCCGGGTACTTACGGGCCAGAATGATAGCCACCAGCAGCCCGAGCAGTAGGAGCAGCAGACTGGCAAGCAGGAGGATACAAAGCCAGGAGAAGTGGCAGTCTGGCTGCAGCCCTCGGGGATGCCGGCCTGTGGGCAGGCAGGATTTTGGGAGCTACTTCTCTTCTGCATCCCTCATGTTGTCCCCAACTCCTGGGCTCTGTCCTACCCCCAGGCCACCCCTGAGACAGTTACCATGCCAGGGAGCTTGGACTCTGCGGCTGGCATCCTGCTGGAAGGCTGGTGGAGGGCAAGATGGCCCTGCTTCAGGTTCGAAAGCAGGATTGCAGAACTCGGTCTGGAAGGCAGAGGCTTGAGGGCTGAGGGCAGGTGTGCCCACTGGGGACATAGGGTCTTGGGAGAGTGGTTCCATGTGGCCCTTACCTTGCTCAGTTCTGTTGCTTCCTCACAGAGGATGACATCTGAGTCCTTCATGGCCCAAGGCTTTGCATGGCCTTCTGGAGTTCCTGTGACAGCCCCTCTCCCTGGGATCCTTGAGGGTCCACTCCCTGGCTCCAAGTTCCCTATCAAAGGGGCAGCCTCTACTCCCAGAGGCAGAGGGCTGCCAGGCTAGACCAGTTCTCTGGCTGCCCTTGGCAGACTGGTTTGGGCTACTCTGTTTCCATGTGGGGGAGGGGACAGAAGTGAGAAGAATTCAGAAAGGCATGAAATGGTCCCTTAATCCAACTCAGCTGAGGATGCTGAGGTCAAGCCCCTACACAGGGTGGCAACTCTTAAAGGCACAGGCGGTGGCTGTGGACACCAGCAGAGGAAGTCAAGTAAGTGCTCAGTGGGGACGCGAGACCACCCCTCCTCACCCAAGGTATTGACTTAGTGCCTGGGGTGCAGGGATGGAGGAGAGTGTGGCCACTTTGCAGGCACAGGCCTTCTGAGAGAGAAGCTGGGGAAAGGGGCTGGCAGCTTCAAGGCCTATGCATCCTAAGGACAGCTGTCCACCAGTCCTCCCCATCTCGGTGATGAGGGCATTAACCACGCCCAGGTCTTTGGAAGACCCGTTTTATCACCCGTGTGGCTAGGACACGTGGAGAGAAGCCACAACAGGGAGGGCAAGCTGAAAGGGTTTCTGCTTATCCCTGGGCCCTCAGCCTGCAGCAGAGAGGGAGACAGTGCCTGAGGTGGTAGCAGTGTGGGCGTGAAAGGGTGGGTATGGAGTCTGGCTGTTGGGGCTGCCTGTTGTCACAGGGTAGGAAACCTCCACAGCAAAGATCACTTCATGCCCTTTTCTCCCTGAGTGAGGTTCTCTGGGAAAATCCCATCCTGGCCCAGCTGTCCTCAGGGATTGCTAATCTGTTCTGTGTTAGTTGTGCTCAGGCTGAGAGTTGGGTAGGGCGAGAGTGTGGAGGCAGTGCAGAGGCAGTGCAGTATCCCTGGCTATCATTTGTAAACATCTATGATGTTTGAGGCCCTAAGCAAGAGGTCTTTCATACAGTTTCTGTCCTTTCATAACTCTATAACTATTTTACAAAAGGTGGTACTAAGTCTCTGAGAGGTTAGGTAACTTCCCCAAGGTTACACAGCTGAGAAAAGACAGAGGTGATAGTAAATCCTAAATGCATATTTTCTATGGCATACCACTTTCACCCCACAAGGAGACCGAGGCATGTTGAGCAGGGTGCTAGAGAGGAGCAAAGGAAGGAATCCCTTTTTGTCCCCAGGAGGGACAGAAGAACCAGAGGAGGTGGATTTCTGATCTAAGGCAGCTCTCCTTGTACAGGAGCGATTCCACCCGCCTCCAGCCCCCTCTCCTCCTCTTAAGGGCTGGGACTGCTTTTCCTGGACCTTGATTGTAAAGTCCAGCAGTGTTTGGTCTTTATGGAACACTCAGTTTGGTAGCATCAGGGACAAGTGCCCTTGAAAGAGGGTAAGGTAGTCCCTGGTACAAGGCACTCTCATTCTGGTTGGACCTGACAGATCAGGATCCCTTGCCCCAGAAAAAGCCTGGGTCAGAGCCAGCAGAGTGGCCCCTGAGCTTTGAGGAGGACAGGTGAAAGGCCACGCCCCTGGGGTCTGTTCGCTGTCATTCATGGAGAGGCTGCCAGTGCCAGGTCTGGCTGGGCCAAAGTCACCTTCATCTCAGCATCATCTGAATTTGTCCTTTTTTTTTTTTTTTGGTGGTGCTGGGGTTTAAAGTCAGCTTCTTGTTTGCTATGCAGACACTCTACCACTGAGCCACTGAGCCACTGAGCCACTGAGCCTCTGAGCCACTGAGCCAGCCCTTATCTGGGCATCCTTGAGACAGGGTCTCACTACTGTGTTGCTCAGGCTAGCCTTGGAACGCTTGATTGTTCTTAGCTTCCTAAGTATGCCACCATACCCAGCTCCTGGGACCCCCTTCCTCCCGACAGGGGAATTGAACCCAGGGCCTTGTACCTGCTAGACAAGCGCTCTGCCACTTGAGCTGTGTCCCCAACCCCCTAGGACTTCTTGAGAGAGGGTCAGAGGTCAGAATTATTCTCATATTGGCATGAAGAGATTATTTGTCTCACACTCATTCATGAGGGTCCGTCCAGTGCAGTTTGCTAGATGCTCTGTGGGGTGTGACATGATGACACATTGCATGCAAAAGGTCGAGAGTCAGCTGTCTTCTGTTAAGCTAGGTGTAAGAGGACTGACAAAATATAAAATGATGCTGTCCTTACTATTTTTGTTTTGTAAAATAGTTTAAAAATCATTGTTAGTATATGAAGAGTTTATTATTTTTAAATTTAGTGTTAATTGAAAATAAAAATGTTTACATTTCTTTAACTTGATAAAATGATAGATATAATTCACATTAACAAAAGTTCTTTGAGGTTTTGGATTTGTTTTTGTTTTTTTTTGAGATGGGGTCTTGGTGTGTTGTAAAGGCTGGCCTTGAACTCTTGGGTTTGAGCCATCCTCCCAAGTAGCTGGGATTGTAGGTGCCCACCATGACTCTGTGTGTGTGTGTGTGTGTGTGTGTGTGTGTGATTGTATGTGTGTGTATGTGCTCGAGCGCCTGTGGTGCTGGGGATTGAACCCACTGTCTTGCACATGCTAGGCCAGCACTCTACCATTGAGCCCCATCCCCAGTCCTTTGATAATTACGTGAACATGTCCTGCTACCTTGCTGGCATTGGCTCAAGTGATAAAGCACCTGCCTAGGAAGAACAAGGCCCTGGATTCAAACCCCAGTTCTGAAAAAGAAAAGAAATGTGGTATAAGTTGAAGAAGCAATGGTCACTTCTGATGGGACATGCAGGGGAACTTCCTGGAAGAGGTGGCTTTAAGACTGAAGTTTGAAGGTTGGAAAGAATTTTAATAGGCTGAACTTGGGGGGTTGGGTATGGAATACCAGGAATTTAAGGCTTAGCACCGAGGCCTAAGGAGCCTGGATTGTGTTAAGCTGGGCATGGCTTGGTCAGAACTGGTCCTTATAATAGTTCCTGTTTTAGGGGAGACATCAGAGGGAGCCAAAGGGGAGGCCGGGAGGCCAGGAAACTTCTCTCCAGCTGTGCTGTTGCTCATAGTGACCCTTGCTGCATAAGTCAGAGGCTTTACTGGAGTCCCAGTGTGAGAATGGGCCTGTAAGGCCTGGGGGCAGGAGGGCCTACATCTGTGACAGTTGAGCCACAGGTTTCTTTCTTCTGCCTTTATTGCTTTTTTGGGCTTCCTTTTCTTCCTTCTCATGGGGTCTCCTCCCACCAGCCCTTCTTTCCCTGGCTGCTGGGGCTTGTCTGCCCCATCACTTTATGGAGACAATTAAAGCCAAGGGAAGTCCCATGCTTAGTTCCTGCTTGAGACTCCTCACAAGCTTGATGGGCTTGTACTTTTCTCCTGAGAGCTATCCTGACAGCATGAATCCCTGTAGCTCTCATTCTCACCCAACCCACCATTTGTTCTCAACTCTAAGTGTCCCTCTTGCCACCATGGAGGGCCAGGCCAGCTTGAGGCCATGACAGACACTGTTCTATCTGGGACTCCAGCTCTCTAGTGCTTCCTCTGGCCGATCTCCAGCCCACCGCTTCCACTTTAGTCAGACTGGCCTCTTCACTGTCTTTGGAACGTGCTGTGTTCTGCCTCTCTCTCCAGGGAATGCCTTTCCTTCTCCTTGTTCCCAAGTCCAGCATTAAGCTCCTCACCTTCCCACCATATCTCAAATGTACTCCCTTTTCCTCTCCTTGCTCACTGCTGCTCTAGACTTCGCCTCCACTCCCTGGTTCCTGGATCTTCTCCAGTCTCCAGGAGCCTGGAAGACAGCAGTGCAACCACAGCCAGATCACCACCATTGCCAAACACAGATCACCCCAAAGATCAGCTCAGGAAAGCTCACGCCTTGGCTGTGGAAGGCCCAGTCAGTGGTTTCTACCTTACTAGTTCTGTCTCATTTGGGCAATGCTATCTTATTCGGTACTCCTAAGCCTTTATCTAGTAGATGGTTTTGCATAGGGGTGGCAGAAGCATTCAGAGAAGCTAGAGGACCTAAACATTCCTAAGAATCATCCACTAGGAGAAGAGCCATGGGGCTGGGGTATAGCTCAGTGGTAGACTGCATGCTTAGCATGCAGGAGGCCCTAGCTTCTATCCCCAGCACAAAATGACAACAAAAAAACAACTCAATGGCAGGGAGGAACAGACATTTGTTCTATATTGTTTTTTTTTTTTTCCATGTGGTATTGGGGTTTGAACCCAGGGCCTACACCTTGGGCCACTCCTCCAGCCCTCTTTTGTGATGGGTTTTTTTGAGTTAGGGTCTCACGAACTATTTGCTCAGGCTAGCTCTGAACTGTGATCCTCCTGATCTCTGCCTCCTGAGTAGCTAGGATTATAGGCATGAGCTACCGGTGCCCGGCTTGTTCCATACTGTCTTTAACTGGATTTAACTACATTGGTATTGTTATGCTCAGGTTAAGATGAGGAAATTGAGGCTCAGAGAAGTAATCTTCTTGGGCTATAATTGCTGGTCCCTATCTGCTCTTGCATTCTGCACAGGTGCTTGTTTGGGCCCCCTGTCCATCAGAGGTGTCCAGTTCAGATAGACCTAGGGCTCAGGGACATTGTGCTGTGTTTGTTGCTGAGTATGTGAATGTTACATTGCTGTTTGGCTCAGTTCCTAAATAGGTGTGGAATGAAAAAAATCTGCAGGAAGTCCCATAATATGCTGTTGATAATTCAAATGGCCGAATATTCAGGTGGAAAGAGAACTGAGTGGGCTCCATTCTGCCTCTTCACTGCCACTGCCAGGTGATGTAGCCTTGAGCAGGCCTCTAGTGCTTGGCACCCTCACTGCACCACCTACGATCCCAGCTCTAAAGCTTCATAGACAGAAACAGGAATTTTTCTGAGCACTGGTCACTTAAAAGTTCTGTTAACTGGAACTAGGGAACCATAGTTATGTAAGTTCTAACTTGAACACGTATTTGGAGGAAAAGGGACATAGAACGAGAACACCAGAGCCAAGACCTTCAAAACTCACTAGTCCAGTTGGCTCACGCCTGTAATCCTAGCTACTCAGAGATCAGGAGGATTGTGGATCCAAGCAAGTCAGGGCAAATACTTTGCAGACCCTATCTTGAAAAACCCTTCAAAAAAAAAAAAAAAAAAAAAGGGATGGTGGAGTGGCTCAAGGTGAAGGCCCTGAGTTCAAGCGCCAGTACAGCAAAACACACACACACAAAACCCCTCACTAACCCAGTCTTAACTCACAGATAAAGCACTAAGGCCCAGAAAGGGGAAGGCTGTGGCTCAAGGCTACATAAGAAAAACTGCAGGGGGAGCACCTGTCCCTGGCTGAGGCTTGCAGGAATGCCAGCAAAGAAGGTGGGAAGAAATCCAAGTTGCTAGGAGGCAGACCTTGATGACAAAGAAACGTGGGGACAGATCTGTTTGTGGTCTGAGGAACACTAGGGCCTGCTGCCTTGGGATGAGAAAGCACTGAAGGGAGAGCTGGGAGCAAGGGTAGAGGGCCTGAGAGTCTCTACCTCATTCCCATCTATTCCTCATGAAAGACAATAAAAACGTACAGGGTGGTTTCTACCTTTGGGAAGACCTACTCAAAGAAGAGGCATTAAAAACTTAACATTTATTTGGGCTTACCATCCACTTGACTATAAGCCTATTTCCATTTTGAAGAGATCTTGTTCAACTCTGGCATGGGGGGAAGTCATCAGCTTTTCAAATCTTATCCAGGGTCAGGTTCCTCCCAGGGTGGGCAGGGAAGTCTGAGTCCCTCACAGGAAGAAGTCACAGGATTTGTGTTACTGCTTTAATCCTTTTATACTCTTGGGAAATTCCCAGAAAAATGCCCCCACTACTGTCCTTTTCCATGGGTGCCAAGAGAGTAGAGGTAGGCCTCAAATGTCAGCTGGTACTTCTGGCTCAGCAAGGACAGGACAGACAGACCTGGATTTTTCAAGTGAAGGCAGCTAAGAAGAATCCCAATGCAATACTTGAAGCTTAGTTGGAGACTTCAGATTCCCTAGTTCTAAGACCAGAAGGAGAAATGGAAAAGCTGAACAGTTGTAAGAATCAAGAAAAATAAGAGTAAAAAATCGAGACAATGTCTCTGAGTGCCCCAATGAGCTTATCTCCTCAAATGGCTAAATCTGAAGTCCTGAAGAAAGTTCTTTGGGGGGGGGGAGGCGTCTTTAGTGTTTGACCACTTGCCTAGAATGTATAGGTTCAGGGTTTGATCTCTAGCAACACAACCTCCTCCCCAACAAAAACCAAACCAACCCCACAAAAACTTCGTAGATGTGTCTAAGTCTTAGTGGGTAAGCTAAGACCTTTATCAGGACCA